CCCGCCCCCCCACCCCTCGGGCCCGACCCTGCCAGCCTCCGCTGCGGCACGGCGGGGGACACACGGAGGAGCTGCCTCTGCCCCTTCCCTGCCCCGCTTCTGGCAGCCCAGGTCCAGCCTGGAGCGCTAAGCCTGGGCAACGACCACCTCACCATCACCCACAGTGCTCTGAGCATGTTATGAGGGTCGTGAGACCACTCTCCTGTGCCTCAGTTTCTCCAGAGGTGGCCCATCCCGCTTATACCGTTGCCACAGGCGGAGAGAACCGGTACCCAAACCCCTGGTGCTCGCCCTGCCCGCAGCTCAACCGGAGCCCCACGTACTCCCACCCCCGGGATGGAGCAACGCGCGTCTTCCAGCTACCTGCTGCCATCGATCCATCGCCCCAGAGCCTCCCCAGGGACCCGCAGCCTTCTTACGTTCAATTAAGTGGACGTTACCCCTTCCATCTCTAGTGATTAATACAGGTTTAATTGCTGCTGCTGCCGGGGCAGGGCAGATGTTTCACTGTCCCGCTGGGTATAGGCTGTGCCGATGCGAATAACCCGGCTTTCAACCGGCTGCGTCGTTTTGCAGCCCCGAGCGCCAGCCAGGGGATGGCAGAGCCCCTGTTCAGCCCAGACCACCACCCAAAACCTCCCGGCTTCTCCCTGCTCCATCCCGCACTCCGCAAACACCAGAGACTTCTGCGCCAGGAACCACAATCCTCCTCCCAGAAACGCTTCAGCCCCACTCTGCCGTCCGTACCACCACGTGGAGTGTCAGCTGGGCTGAGCAGAGGACGGGTCTACTCTTCTCCAGGCGCAGGAGCTCACGGCCTTCAGCGAGTCCATCCCAAGACTCAGGTGAGGCCACCTCCATCTTCAGCCAAACAGTCGCCATTGCCAGAGCTTTAAAAACCCATCCGTAAACGCAAAGCGACCAAGTCTGCTCGACGAGAGTTGAAGTAAAGGTGACTTACCCCACCTCTGGTGCCGGATCCTGGCTAGGAACACACGCGGCGCACGCTCCCGGCTCGAGCAGCATCTTGCTACATCAAACGAGGTCCCGAATCACAGCTAGTCCTCTTGTCTCCAGGGGCGAGACTCGACTCGGGCCTCTAGACACTAATCTCTACGACACTTCTCTTCTCCAGATGGAAGTCAACACAAATCAGAACCTGCTGTCAGCTGCTCCAAAGCTCCTGCCGCTGTCGACACCCAGATCGGAGCCAGCGGCTGACCCGGGCTGCATCAGAGCTAACCTTGCTGAGAGAGAACCGCAACCGCAGGCTAACTTCCCTCCGTGACCCGCTCTACACCTCGTCACTCATCTCACGCACAAAGAGCTGGAGGAAGGAGCAAGGTAGAGAAGAAAAAAATCAGGATTATAAATCTAAAATTTTATTGAGACAAAAACTGACAGAGCTCGGTATGAAGTTAAAATCCAAACACGTACTTTACATTTAAACAACGTTTTCACAGAAACCTAAACACATGCTTTTAAAAAAAGGTTTGTACAATGCAATCTAGATACATACCACCCTACAAGGAGGTGCCAGGAGTCTGGTGGGGCTCATGACTCCAGACATTAAATAGTTCAGTATTTGTAATAAATCTGATTTAAAAAAAAAAACAACAATAAACTTCAGAAGATTCAGGGTAACACATCCGGCTCCAGCACCGACGTCTGGCCTTCTACAAACAATCACTTGTTACGGGAGAATATGGAATTGATTTTTTTTTTTTTTTTTCTTGTGCTGCTGTTGATTTCCTCTCCCTCCCACAACTAAAGGGTTCCCAACGCTGCTGGCTGGACACTCAAATTAAGGTGAGAAAAGGAACAAGTTGTCAGAAATCTGTCCGTGTGTGTGTGTGTGTGTGTGTGTGTCCCCGCCGTGTTTTGAGAAATAGCACCTTATAACGGAAAGAAGGGTAGAAAGGCTTTTAACGGGTTAAAATCCATTCCCGCCCCACACCCCACCCTCCCACATACAATGCATGTGTCAGTAACTGGCAGTTCTGGACAATACGAATCACAAGTTTGCATTTTCACAAGTCTTCCCTCCCCCCCCCACCCCGCTACCACCCCTCCCCTAAAAATTGCTCGCAGGGTTTTGAGGATCTCGGCTCCCGAGATTTGGATATTCACAGTTTCAGTCTCATGTCAGTGTCCCTGTCTCCGAAATGATCCGAAACATTGTCACCAGACCTCATCTCCCTCCCTCCCCAATTAAACAAAGAGACCAATTACCCCACATCCCTCCCCCCCAGCCCCCTCGAACCAATACACCAGGAAATAGCAAAAGAAAAAACAAAAACAAAAACAAACCCAAAAAAACCTACACACATGCTACGCCGTAAAAATGCAGAGTTAACACTATCGGGAAGAAGGCTGTGGGTTGCTGAGATGGTCTTTGAAGAATAAGCAGTATCCATCTGCACTCCCTTTCCCCAGCCCACCCATCACCAGTGATAGTCCTTCATGGAAGGGGCTTTGCTTCCTCTACCACAAGCTGCAAAATAGACAGCCTTGAAACAAACACCCCGATTCCTCCCTCCCAAATCCCCCCTCCCCGAACCCGGTATCCCCCTGCCCTCCCCTTCCCTCCCCCCTCCCCAGATTGAGCCGGGCTGGTTTGAATCTGTACACAGCATGAAGCTGCATAAAGCAGTCGAGCAGCTGCAGGGCACAGAAACCATACTGGTCTCTTCAAAGGGCATCTTCTTCAGCCATCTCTACGCTCCCAACCGAGCAGAGCTGCGTTCTCTCCCTCTTGCTCAAACCCACAGTTCAGATCTTTATACAAAGGCTGGCCAGAGCGGGGTGCCGGGGGTTAGTTCTTGTCCTCTTTCTTGTCATCGTCCTCTGAGGGGTAGGAATGCCATGTCAACCTCTCCTCGTAGAACGAGATGACCACCTGGGGGCACTTGATGTTGGCTTCCTTGGCAGGGACCAGGTCGGCCTCGTCCGAGTTCTTCCTACAGGCCAGAGCAGAGGTGCAAGTTAGGGGGCTGCAGAGGGGAGGTGGAAGAAGCGGAGACCAGAGAAAAAATTAAATAAATCAAGAAGCAGCAGGTAAACGGAGTCCCCGAGCTGCTCGGGGCATCCAAGCGACCCCTTCCCGAGTGGCTCTGGAGCGGGGAGGAGCAGCGCGTGAGCTCAGGAAAAATTCAGGCGGTGAGTTCAGCTCCGTGTCGTCGGGGATGGGGAGAGAGAGAGGCCAAATCAAAGCTGCGGCCCTGCCCCCAGCAACTCCGTCCTTCTGAGATGGTGCGAAAGCAAACGGCTCCCGCACCTACGCCTGACTGGTTTGGCTCCCACCTGCGCCAGCGACAAACCCTGTGGTCACTACAGCCGAAGGGGACGCGGTCATCGTCAGGGCTCTCTCCTCCGGGCGCAGCCTTCCGAAACTGCAGCCCGCGCCATGACACCGTGCCCCGCTCTCTCCCCAAGCTCGCGCCTGCTGCAGGGGGACATCTTAAGAGCCACACAATCCCGAGGGCCCTACCTGCTCGTTTCACATCCACGTTAGCCTCAGCGCAGAGGGTCACCTCAGGCAGCAGCGCCATCGCGAGAGATTTCATGCCAGGTAGCAGGGACTCCCCAGGCGCAGGTCCTTCCCTCTCTGGCACAGAATAAGTGAAGAAGTGACAGACACAAAGACACACTCACCACTTCATCAGGAACATGAGCTCCCCGCTGGAATCCGTGGCACCAATGATTCGCTCTGGCTCAAATCCTCGGGCAAAGCCTCGCGGTTTCTCCGACTGAAAAGAGACAAGTTTCCACTTGTAGCATCACAGGGGGGACAGCCACAGCCCCGTTTCTGGACACCAGGACATACTGGTGGCTGTTGAGAAAGGCTCTGCAAATCAGGTGCTCACACTGCAATTACTAAGGCCAGCGGGGAACCGTGACAACCGCTCAGGTGTAAACCCACTGCACAGAGGTGACCTCCTGCCCGGCCCCGGGCAGCACAGCGGGGCGCCCCGCTCCTGCTGCACACACAGGATCCCATTTCCAAAGCCCCGCCGGTGAAACTCTCGTGTTGGCCACGATTCAGTAGCTCCTGGGATGAAAACCAGACCGCAGAGCCTTTTTACCGCCCCTTTTCCCAAGCAAATACAAGCACCCCGAGCAGGAGGCTCTCTGCTCCACCTTGTTCTCCCTCCTCAAGGGGCAACAGGCAACTCCTGCCTCCTGTTTCACCCCTTGGGCGGTTCCTCAGGAGAAGCTGGGGCTCTCTACCCTTTTGGTTTGGGAACTGGCCTTTCATTTAGCGCTAGGACTGGCTCTGGACTCGCTAACAGGCCTAGCTTAGACAACAGCTCGTGCCTCCTTCCGAAAGCTACAGCTTTTCAAACACGCTTCAGCTGTGTCTCATTGAAGTGCGATCCTTTCCCCTCCACGCAGGAGAACAGTTTGACCGAGGTTTCGGAGCGCGGCTGCTCTAGCTGCGAGACACCGTGCCGATCGCAGGGGTAGGGAGGTGAGCACAGAAACCCCACCCTGCCTCACCTCCTCCTTCTTCTTCTTTGGTTTGCTCTCCTCCCCTTTGTCCTCCGTGTCCGACTCCGCTTTGCGCTTGCTTCCCTCGGACTTTTCGCTCTCATGTGCGGTTTTCTGAGACTGAAGGAACTCTGCAATGAGGTCTGGGCAGTCGAGGTTCTCCTCTGGCTCCCAGGTGTTATCTTCGCTGCAATCAAAGACAACAGCTTAGTTTTACACGCGGGCAGCTTGCCGCAGCTCTCCCTGCCAAGAAAAGTCCTGCACACCAGGTCAGGCGGAGAGAAGCAGCAGTCTGGACGCAGGTGTCCTCGCCACGACACAGGACCCTGCCCTGATCCGGGCAGGGGTGCCGGAGGGCAGGGCAGTCATTTCCCTTCTCAGAAGAGAAATGCAATTGATTTTATCCGGCTGCTTGTTTCACACTAGGCTTAAGTGGGAGAGAAGCCTCACCAGGGCTGTTTGCAAGGCAGAAATGGGACTTTCTCACCTAGGCTGTGCTCTCATCGCCCTGATTAGAGCTCGAGGCATTCAGCACCACCGTTTTTATCATCACGGCTGCCCTTGGCCTCTTAGCTTCCTTTTACAGACAAGGAAAGAGGCGCAGGGAGACTGAGCCACCTGCCCGCAGGCTTTGGGAGCCAAAAGAAGAAGAGATGCTCCCGCCGGAGCAGCCCAGCACGCACCCCGCAGCCGCAGGCGGGGAGGCACTTACTCCGAGAAGCCTTTCCACTTCAGCAGGTATTCCACTTTGCCCTTTACCACTCGCCGATCCAGGACCTTCTCCACCACATACTCCTCCTCCTCTTCCTCTAGGACCTCTTCTACTTTCTTCTTGTTCTGTTTTTTTCCCATTGTGCTGGCCAGTTTTTCAGCTTACGGGCGACGCTGCTAAAAGAGGAGAGAGAACCACACGGTTTGTGTCAAGGTCAGGTTTGCCTTTGCCAGGCAGCGAACGTGCTGGATACGCAGAGGCAAAGCACAGGAATGCTGCTTTGGAGAAAACAGGCACCTACAAAGTAGATAACGCACCAAGAGATGGGCCAGGACGGTCCTGCCAGCCAAAAAGGCAAAGGGGAATCTCCAGCAGGAGCTGCTGCATTTACACAACGCTTTTCTGACACACAGTTTTGACCTTTTTGTCTCCCCAGCACCTTATTTCACCTGTTCCACCAAGACCCTGCCTGATTCTACCCCCACTTTGGCCCTCTTTTCGGTACACCATGTCTCAACTTTGCTGCTCCCACGCGTTGCCCGCTGACCTCCAGAAAGGAGGCAGCATCCTGCGGCAGCTGCTCCACACCTCGTCCTTCCTCTGCCGAGTCCCACGCGTCCCCCCTCAACCTGCGCTCCTTCCTCACCTCGCCGACCCGCCTGGAGCTGCAGAAAGCATTTGCAGAGCTGCATAGCAGCGGGAGGAAGACAGCACGCCGCTGATATTAACTAGAAGTTAATAAATAGTTAATCCAAGTCAAATACAAGTCACAGTCCCCGATACCGAGCTCCCAATATTCATTTCTTTGGTTCATGGATGTGCACTCTGGGATATTTATCTAACTCACCAACCCAGAAAATGCCTTTTTTTTTTTTTTTTCCTTCCTCCTTATCTTCCAGAGCTGTTTAGACAGTCAAAAATTCCTGCATACATATCCAGTGCTGGGTGGGAAGTGGCAGAAGCGACGCAGAGCTAGGAGAACTCTCTGGCCCGACACAGCCCAAGGCTACCTGCCGCAAACGCCGCGGCACACAGGTAACGCGTGATGGGGTGGCCCTCGGCGCAGCTCTCTCTGCTTTCCAGTCGCGCGGGAGGGGGGACGACTGCAGAGGAGGAGCAGCTCTGCCAACACGCCGGGCGCTTCCCCCAGGCTGAAACGAAACACCTCAGAGAGCCAAAAACCACAGAGAGGCCCCGCTTCCCTCCTGAAACCCAGCTCGGACCAGTAAGAGCACCGCAGCGGGGCAGATCCCGGGTCAGTCTCTCCTCGCTGGTGGTGGGGATGGCCGTGCACCTCGTCCCTGCCCTCTCTCCCTCTGTGGGGCAGTGGTTCTGCTAAAAACACGCCGGCAAACGCTCTCCAGACACTTCTTGGCTGGTACCGCTTACACCAACAGGTCCCAGCCCCACACCAAGATCCTGAGCCACCACACAGCCCCACAAGGGGACAGAGGAGGACCACGAAGATGATCTGAGGGCTGGAGCATCTCTCCCATGAGAGAGTTGCAGGGGTTCAGCCTGGAGAAGAGAAGGCTCCAGGGAGACCTTAGAGCCTCTTCCAGTGCCTAAAGGGGCTACAAGAAAGATGGGGAGGGACTTTTCAGCAGGGCCTGTTGCGATAGGACGAGGGGTAATGGCTTTAAAATAAAAGAGGGGAGATTTAGGCTAAATACAAGGCAGAAATGTTTTATGCTGAGGGTGGTGAGACCCTGCCCCAGGTTGCCCAGAGAGGTGGGAGATGCCCCATCCCTGGAAACTTCCCACTTCAGAATGGACGGGGCTGGGAGCGACCCGGGCTGGTTGGTGATGTCCCTGCTCATGGCAGGGGGTTGGACTGGATGGCCTTTAACGGTCCCTTCCCACCCAAAATATTCTGTGATTCTACGATCTGCTCATGTGGGAAGGGGATGCGGGAGGAGTTTTCTCTTTAGGTTCAAGAAAAATACAGAGCCTTCTAGTACCCTGACCTCCCCACCGGCCTCTGCTCCAAAGAAGTCTGCGCAGCCAGCCGAGCGCACCGAACAAGTTGCACTGATTTACATCAACCAAAGGGTCGGGAGGTTCCGAGTCTCCCCATCTGTTATCTCTGATAAGCAGCGACGCCGTCACGGAGAGCCACTGGCATAGCCGGCAAGGGGACCCAGACCGCCTGAAACCAACTCCGTACCTCAGCCTCCCAAAACCCCACCCTGCTGAAGAGCTGCCCGGGAGCTTTCCCAGCCTGAGCCCTGGGGAACACTACTTTTTTTTTTTTTTTTTTTTTTTATTATTCCAGTAAAACGCACATTTTCTGCCAAGCAAAATGACTGGTGAGCAGGTCAAACATTACCTGCCTGGAAACTTTCGTTTTGCCACTCGGGTTATCACGAATCTTCTAGAATAAATTTCAGCTGGCAAAATCTAGGCAAACCGGGGGCCGGTTTATATGGCGAAACAAAGATCCTGCAGATTTACACTGGCTGAGGGAGATGACCGAGTTCAGCAACGGTCTCAGCTCTCAGGGTACAGCTGGACGGGCTCCCCTTGTGCACAAGATGCTGCTGAGCTGAGCAGCTGCTCTTAAGAGTATCCTTCAAAGGAGAAAGCTTAAAAACAAGCCCCACAAAGACGTACCGCCAGCTCAGACCAGCAGAAGCCCCAGCAGAGAGGAGAGGAGGGAGCACAGCCGAGCCAGCACGTTCCAGACCACCCCGTCTCCGCTGCTATCTCTCAGACAGGGCTTGAGGGCAGCCCAGGAGCGCAGAGGGTGAAAGCGGCACTTCTCTGCTTGGCAGGCGCTGGACCAACGTGTTTATACTTTGGACCCCGCTACTGCACTGCTTTCAACCCGACCTCGGCGCAGGAGCTGTGCCAGCACCCGGGCTCGTGCTCCGCAAGGTTTTCAGCCTCCAGCCGTGCTTGCTGGCGGACAGACATCTTCCCTTTACACCCCATCCCTGCGGGCACCAGCCGTGAGGTGACCACAGCCTTCTCCCTTGATGGCAACGTCAGGGTAGAAGGAGGAATGAACACCTTCCCACCAGCCGCAGCCCCCAGATTTGGGGCCGCTCATCAACCAGGCAGAGGACTGGCAATAAAAGCCAGGCCAAAGCGGGTGCTGCCATCTCGGGGTTTTTGGGGGTCACTGAGCAAGTTGGGGGGCGGTCCCAAGAGCCCAGGCTCTGCATCACAAGCCTTTTCCTCCTCCTCCTCATGTTTAGCATTAGACATCTCTTCCCCTGCCTTTCTTTTGATTGGTGGTCTCAGAAGAGGGGTCTGCACCCAAACAGGCTGCAGAGCAGAGAGGACCAAGGGAAGAGCTTGTTTGGCTACTGCTCGTGCTGTCCTCTGGTCGCAGAGCTCCAGCGTCCGCCAAAAGTGAAAACTAAACCCCCTCTAAGTGTTAAATGAGGTGAGAAGTTCCCTGCTCTGTACGGAGCGGCAGCAGAGGTGGTGGCAGGGATATTGCCACGGACAGGCAGTGCTTCCCCCCTGGGTCCTTTATTCAATGCCAGAGGACACCGAGACCCCCAAGGATGAAGTTTTATTGCCCTGTTCAATGGGGGGAGAAAAAAAACCACCCAACCACCTGGAAACAGACCGCTAAAACAGAGCCGTAGGAGAACATGCATCAGAGAGGCTTTTCCCTCCTCAACTCCTGGGATGAAATACACTGACAGCATCTTTAATCAGACGCCAGACGGAGGCAAACCCGAAGCAGCGAGGCTCCCGGTCGCCTGCGGACTCGCCGAGGAGGAGGCCAGGCTGCCTGGCACCGCCTCAGCTGGTGTGCAATACAACAATGTAAAGCCTCCGACCCACCGCCAGCATCTAATCCCCGGAGCAGGAGCCAGCTCTGCAGCAGGAAGCCAAGAGATCGTGTTTCACTCTGGAATTCTTCAGGCAATTCCTTCCTCCCGCGCAGGACAGCCTTCCTCCCCTCCATCATCCTCCTCCTCCGGCACCGCATGGCCGACAGAGAAGGGGGCCAGAGCCGAGCACACCGCGGCAGAGGGGATTCCCAAGAAGGCGCCGTCACAGCTCTGACTACAATCAGCAAATAAACACTAAGACAGCCTGGAGAGGCGAGATCTTCCCCTCCCTCAGCAGGGACTTCTGTTCAGCTGCAGCCAAAAGGACTTTAGATGAAAGCGCTGTGGTTAATGCTTGGAGAGGGACTGGGTTTTAAGGCACCTAAGGATGCTGAGCTGGACCGCCAGGCCGCTTGAGCTGCCTCCTAAGGCGGCGACCGGATCAAAGAGTCTAACGGTAGAGTCCGGCCAAGGTGAGCTCAGAGGGGAGTTGCTAAAACTCGAGGTGGTGTGTAGGACAGGTAGAAGCGGAAAGGGAAATGGAGAGAGGCAACAGAGCAACGCAACGCTGCGGATCCGTCATTTTATTGCGGTAAGTGCTGGGCAGAGAAGACGCAAATCCAAGGCCAGGAGCACTTGGGAAAGAGCTTGCCAAGGGGAGGGATAAATACACCAGTGCAAAGGGCTGCGGCAACTATACCTTGAGCGTAGGGCAGGCAGCAACCTCGCCAAAGTCCCCAGTCACTGGGGGCTCGTTCCTTTCAGCAGACGTTCCCCTCTTTCTGCCAGAGGCATTTACACCGGAGTACCAGTGTCACCCCCTCGCACGGACCCGCTCTGCCTCTGTGGGTTCGCAAGATGTCTGCTCCCACGCAGGCACGGGGCTGGCACCCAGCTGCCTGCTGACGAGCCGTCCCCTCCGCATTCACCCCCGCGGCAGGGACAACATCTGGTTTTGCCTCCGCAGCCTGCAAGCCAGAAAGGTGCTGCGGGCAGATAAGGCCGAGCCGCAGTTCGCAGCGTCTGCTGTTAGACAGGGCACAGATTTTCGCGTTGAGCCAGCAGCAGAGACAAGCTGCTGCACAGGCCTCTCGCTGCACTGCAGTCAAAAACGCAGCTCGAGTGTGAGAAAGGGACTTCAGCCCCCCCCCCATCCTCCCCAGGGGGGTACAAACGCAGCGTGTGGCTTTATCTGCGAAGCATCTGAGCTGCTCCCCACACCTTCTAAAAAAAAAGCCTCCGCGGAACAGAGCGCTCGACAAAGATTTCAGCCTTCTGTGACCGGGAACATCCAAACCCTCCAATTTTAGTTATTAAAAACAAACCACAGCCACCCAAAGCACTGGCTGGTTTCTGGTCTCTGGAGGAAGGGGGAGAGGTTGAACAATACCCG